ATGGTTTTCTTTATAATAAATGAATTTACATTAAATTAAAGGATTCATTGGTTGTTTTTCTTATTTTTACTAATTTTTAATTTTCTATATTTGTAATTAGTATGATATTCTTATTAGGTTAGTGTAACTCACCATTTCATTAACTATTTTAAATCCAGATCCCGATTAACAAGAGGGTTGTAAATAGTTCATCACTCAAACTCCCTTCAAAAACTAGTGAATATCGTTTTAAAATTGCTTAATTATTTATTTTTCGTTTATTTCTTTAATTTTTGTTTGTTCCTTTAAAATAGACATTCACATAATCCTATTTGTCATTCTAAATTATTGTGTAAAGAATATAAACCATAACTCTATTATTTCATTTCACATTTAATTTATAATTTTATTTTTATTTAAATTTCGGACCTTTACAAATTTATTGAATTGAATTTTAATATTATTGATATATGTACATATATATACATATATAAGAAAGCATCTTATTATCAGCAAATTGTAAATGGTGATATGTAAATCATACATAGTTTACACACACTTGTCTTATAACCACAAAACAATATGAAATTTTACAAATATCATGTAGAGATTTGATATTACACACATAATTAAGAACTCACAACAACTTGTTATTAGTTGGTTTGTGAAAGTTTGTCTATTTCCAGCATAAGACTAAGTTAAAAATTAAACCGAGCTACTAACTCACAATTTCAAGCATTTATTATAAAAAGTTGTAGTAAATTAATAGACACTAACATTATACAAATTTTAAATACCATATTTTTTAAACTATGAATGTATCTGTAGCACCCCGAAAGGAGGAGGAAAAAAAAAAAAAAAAAAAAAAAAAAAAAGGGGGGGCCACGTCAGCAGCCACGTCAGCAGGCCCGGTCAGCAGTCCCGGCCAACCGGGCCCTGCCACGTGGCAAGATCGCGTCACTCCGAAAGGAGCCACGTTGGCGATCCGCGTGGGTGCGATCCGACGGCCCAGATCAATCACGCGATCGGACGGCCCAGATTCAAACGCACGGACGGCCCAGATTCAATCAAAAACGAACGGCCCAGATTAAAACGAAACGAACGGCTGTGATCAAAAGGCAAGGGGTTATAAATAGAACCCCCACACCAGACCAAAAACCCTAGCCGCCAGCCGCTCGCCGGAGAAGACGAACCAGAGGCCGACCGCCGCCACCCGCCGCCACTCGCCGCCGCACCGGGGAAATTTCCGACCGCCGATCGAGGTAAATTTCATACCCCCGACTCGTTTTTTCCCACTGATTCCTCCTATGGCCAAATCGAAGCCGAAATCCCGGCCAAACGGCCGGAATACGCGGCCGAAGCCCAGCGGCGCCGCCGCGCCCCCTCTCGGTTTTTGCCTCCGACGAGGCCCTTCCCGGCCTCCGTTCGATGCAATTTTTATATCACCGTGATCACCATTCTTTTCTCTACAGGTTGACCGAAGCCAAATCACCAAAACACGAACTTCGCCGGAGAGTCGCCGTACCCGAGAGCGCCGCCGCCGGTAAGCTCCGCTTTTCCGTGATTTTTTGGCCCCCCGAGGGCCCTAGGGTTGTTTTCTGACAAGGACCAATGCGAGTGTGGCCGAATTCGGCCAAAAACGGCCGAAAACAGTCAACCCGAGGCGACTCGCCGCCGCCAGCGGCGGCGCCGTCGCCGGAGCACGGCGGAGCCGCCGTGCCGGAGTTGCGATTTGGGCCGAAAGAGGCCCTGGGCCTAATTTGGATTTTTTTTGGAACACGTGCAGGTACTGTTAGCGTGTTTCAGTTCCCCGGGAAAAATTCAGGGAAAATTAGGGACAGCCTGCAGGCGCACTGTGAATCGTATTCGGATCCCGAAAACAAGTAAGGACCCCTCACCCTATTTCCTATCACGGTATTAAAGTTCAAAATGATAAAACAGTATTTCTTGAATTAACGCATGTGTGAAATTGCTTAAGGTTGCTAATGGAGCCCGAGTCTAGTGTGATTGATGATTTACTGTTATTTGGCCTGTTTACAGCTTTAAATGCAAAATGAGGTTTGATGTGTTCATTTTACAGATTTGTGTGCATGTACTACGTTTTTATTAATTATGGGTTGAATGACTGAGAAACTGATACTGTATGTTGTCTGTTCGGCATGAATTACCGTTTTGCTTGTTTGTATGTGAATTGATGATGCTGACTGAGGAAAAGGAAAATGAAAGATTGTGTAGACTGATAATTGTATTATGGGGGTCAGCCTGATTAGATATCCTGGGAGATGGTGGACGGACCGGGTCCGTAGGGAACCCTACCGGGATTGTGGTCTCACATGCCGGACGGGGTATGGAGATCTTATGGTTTTGGCGCCCATACCGGACGGGGTATGGGGACGGCCCGTTTCACCCTCATACCGGACGGGGTATTGAGGTTTATGGTTTTGGCGCCCATACCGGACGGGGTATGGGGACGGCCCGTTTCACCCTCATACCGGACGGGGTATTGAGGTTCATGGTTTTGGTGCCCATACCGGACGGGGTATGGGGACGGCCCTGGAAACTGATTATGAATGTTAAAGGTTAACGGGTAGCAGAACCCCTATGGACCCCCACGGATACTAGTAGGCTGGTAAATGAGAAAAAAAGATATGTTGTACAATGATTGAATTACAAGAGGCGTGATAAGTGTTATGTTTTACAGCGTAGATTATTCAATGATTATGATAATGTTATTGTTTTTCTCATATTGTTTTCATAAATTCCACCAAGGTAAGTGGATGGTAAAAGATTTATTATTGATAAAAGGTTTTGTTGTTAATAAACGAGTTTATTGTAAATTATGCTCCATTGGTCTTTTTGTGGTTTTCTACCCACCTTTATCTCCGTGACGGTGAGATATCGTGATGTTCTTACTGGGCTAGTGTAGCTCACTCCTTAATTAACCATTTCAGATCAGGAAGACATGGTTCCCGAGCCCGTTCCGCAGGAGGACGACGAAGGGGATGCCTAGAGACTCTGTAGTCATACGCATAGTTTATTTTCGAGTTTTCTTTCTTAGTTAGTTTAACCTTTTATATTTTAAGTACGTTTGTTTGGTTTTTCGTGTAAGGGATGTTAACTGAAATTTTGATCTCGCTTCCGCATTTGATATATTTAGATACTCATTTCATTTTAATATTTTCCGGGGCCGTTACAGTATCACCATCGTATTATCTATCATATTCTTTTCATATTAATTTGAGTATTAAAATGGGTCTCCTTAAAATAAATTGACAGATGATATTTATATATATATATCTCTTCTTTTCGAGAAAACTCTATCAATTTTATTGTACTAATTAATATTTCAATTTACTAATAACATGACTAATTGTTTATTAATTTATTATTAATCTCTCGTATCATGTTAATGTCACCATTCACCTTTTTAATACATCTATTGAGTTATCAACTATGCTTCTCTTGGCTTCATTTCAAGATTTGACTTCATGAATTATCTTTAAAATTTGTACATTTATGATGTAATATGAATATAACTAATATATATAATATATAATTTTAGACAATAAATAATTCAAAAAAAAAAACAAAGAAGAAAAGTTTATTTTAATTATCTCGAAGTTATTAGAAACAAAGGATTTTTCAGTAAGAATGAGAATATAAAATGCTTTATTCCTACAAGTGGGGAGATCACGATAAAATCCTTCAGGATGTTAAGCACCTATAAATAATAAGAAGATAATTATTAAAATTTGATACTTATTGTGTACAATATTTTTTTATTATAATTTAATATTTAATATTTTTATTTAATTCAAACGTTCATAATGTTTTTTTTTTCATAAAAAGAATTTATGCGCACTAATTAACAATAATAAAAAAAAACTAATATTATTATTAATTTATTAATTTAATTAATTATTTAAAGTCAACTTTAATTTATTTTTTAAAAACATTTAAATACAAATTAATTATTTATTAAAAACTTAAATATTTAAAATAAATAAGAGATCTCAAAAATCAAATTATATCAAAAAATAATTAATTACAATAAATACTAAAAGTTTTAGAATAAATTAATAATTTGTCCTAAATAAGATTAGTAATTTAATTTGAATGATTTTCTTATTGATTAAGGATTAACCTTTTTTATCTTGATGTAAATGACAATAAATATATTTCATTATATGTTGACAGAGTTTATTACCATCTTAAATTCTTTTTTTTTTTTTAAATAAAAATAAATGAATACATATATATATATATATCTCTATATCTATATCTTTTTATATTAATTAATCTAGTAGCTTGTAATTAACGTCGTACTTATAATAATTATTTATTTTTGAATTTTAAAATAAGTCCACATATTTAGATGTTATTATTGATATATTTTTTGGTGGGTAAATATTTTTAATACCTACTATATAAATACACGTGTATCACATCCCATTTCACAGAGTGTCACTACGTTGCTTTTTCGAGTTTGGACACGCAAACATATGTATTTTTGAAGCTTTTTAAGTCGTATTCTACAAACAGCTTTTTTCAAAAGTTCCGCTACTTCTCAGCTGACAAAAAACCAGGTGGCAAACACAAACTGGTTCACCTGTCCACCGTCGGATTTATCTGGCACAGACGATCTCACCAAGGAGCAGAGAGCTCACGAGTTTAACTACCGAGACGCCCGCACTGGATTACTTGCCTAATACAGAATCAAGGTCAGTCAAGCCTGCCCATAAGTTTTAAAAGGGTCCCCCACAAACTTCGATATTATATTCATAATAATAAATAAATAAAAATAAATGGTGATTTATTGTCATCCTAACGTGAAAATTGTTTGAACTCTCTGTATAATTATCTCCATTTCCAAGTTTTCATTTTTCTTTCAAATATATATTCAGAAAAAGGGGGAAAGCGGAGGAGAAATAAAAAAAGAGAAGGTTTGATTCTGGGGAATCGCCGACGAATTGTATTCATCAAATTCAAAGGTAATCACTGTATTCTCGTGATTAGTGACGACAGATACCTAGTTTTGAAAGTTAATAGTGATTCCATTTTGAATAATCTGTTTCTAAGCGGGATTTTCTTCGGAACTTTATTATTTTCGTTTCTCGGATGGTTTTGTTTGTTCATGGACGAGATTTGATCAACGGGCTTAAGAGACGTGGATATATGATTCGTTGCCGGTTTGGTGAAATTTTTAGCTGCTGTTTTTGGTGTTTATTTGGGGTAATCATATGAAGTTCCGTCTTCTTTTTTCTAATTTTGCGTGTATTTGACTGTCATCTGGAGTTTTGATCCCTCTGATTTTAGATTTTTCCATATTAACCATTGTGGATTTTGTTAATTGATGATGTGATGGGAACAAGTTTTGTTTTGGACAAATCTTCTCTGAATATTCTTGTTTCTTTTCACAGAGAGAGCGAAAGTGAGTCCTGATTTTTCTTCCTTTGTAAAGGGAAATATTTGATATTTTTCTTTTTTGGATGTTTTGCGTGCATTTTTAATTGATATATGTAATCTGTGGCTTCCTATTAAGATTATTTCTGAATGATTGATTGATTGATTTTTTTTTTCGTTTATAAGTTAAAAATTGATTACTGTTATGCCTTTCGGCGGGGGGAGGGAATTGAATTGCCATCTTTATTTCTGGTCACAATTATTCATTGATTATGGTTCTCTTGGTTTCCAGAATAGCTAATTTTATTTTGTAGCAGTTGTTGGAATGTGATAGTGTCCAACTTGCGGGACGAAATTTCACCCATAGGAAACCTGCAAGAGATAAGGGAAAAATATAGTATAGTTATTATGCTGAGAATCTGGTGAGCATATGAATGTTAATTGGTTAATGGTTAATGGGATCAGAATTTCCATTAGGCCTACTATTGACAAATTTAACTGCTCTATTAGTATCGTTATTTCGTTCTTTTGGTTTCTTAGGATGTGAAGTATGATCCATGAACTTTTTTTTTTTCAGGTGCTAAGTCATAAAATTGACGGTCATCTGCTAAATTTCCCAGTATTTGCTGAAAGCTCCCAATATCTTTGTTCTATTCATTCTTTCTACCTTTTCTAAGTTATCTTTTGGGATTAGAAAAAGGCAGGGAATGCTGAAAGATGTGCCTCACCGCAAAGAAATCTGTCACTGAGATTCATGAGATTCCATCATCAAAACCAGAAGTGCTGCCTGTCTTCTTAATTGATGAGACTGGATCAATAAATCACAGCTCACTTCCTTCATGTGCCCAAAAGCTTAATTGGTCTGTAAGTTATAATGTTCCTGTTGTGTTAATTCATGATCTCAGTGAAGATGGTTGAGCTGTTACTGCAATAGATAACTCCTGTTCTGTAAATTTAACGTAAGGTGTCACAGCAGGAGATAGTAATATTTGTTTATATTAAGTTTCATAAGTTATGGAAAATAAACCGAAGGTGTTGACACAAAGATATGAATTGGGGAGATTATTGGGCCAAGGAACTTTTGCAAAGGTTTACTATGCAAGGAGTATAAGAACTAACCAGAGTGTGGCCATTAAGGTTATTGACAAAGAAAAGATTTTGAGAGTTGGGCTTATTGATCAGATAATGCGAGAGATATCTGTCATGAAAATTGTTAGACACCCTAATGTTGTACAACTTTATGAAGTCCTGGCCACCAAAAGTAAGATTTACTTTGTCATGGAATATTGTAAAGGAGGAGAGCTCTTTAACAAGGTTGCTAAAGGAAAATTAAAGGAGGATGCTGCACGGAAATACTTCCATCAGCTGATTAATGCAGTCGATTTCTGCCATAGTAGAGAAGTTTACCATCGTGATATAAAGCCAGAGAATCTATTATTGGATGAGAATGAAAATTTAAAGATTTCTGATTTTGGTTTGAGTGCACTTGCTGATTCTAAGCGCCAAGATGGCCTACTACATACAACCTGTGGTACTCCTGCATATGTTGCTCCTGAAGTCATTAACAGAAAAGGCTATGATGGAGCAAAAGCTGATATTTGGTCTTGTGGGGTGGTCTTATATGTCCTTTTGGCTGGTTATCTCCCTTTTCATGATTCAAATTTGATGGAGATGTACAGGAAAATTGGCAAGGCAGAGTTCAAGTTTCCTAATTGGTTTTCTCCAGAAGTTCGTAAGCTGCTGGTCAGGATATTGGATCCAAACCCCAGTACTAGAATTTCTATTGCTAAAATAAAGGAAAGTCATTGGTTCCGGAAGGGATTGAATTCTAAGCAGAATAAGGCAGGAACAGAAAGTGATATTGCAGCTTCACCAGATACATGTGCTTCTGGGCCCCGTGAGAGTGGCAACATGGCTGCTGAGGCAAAGCAAGAGTTAGTCCAACCTCCAAACTTGAATGCTTTTGATATTATCTCCCTCTCTGCTGGATTTGATCTGTCTGGATTGTTTGAGGATGATTTTCAAAAGAGAGAAGCAAGATTTACCTCCAGACAACCTGCCTCGGTCATCTTCTCTAAGCTGGAAGAAATTGCAAAGCGGTTGAAGCTGAAGATAAAGAAAAAGGATGCTGGATTGTTGAAATTGGAAGGTGAGAAGGAAGGAAGAAAGGGAATCTTGTCTATTGATGCAGAAATTTTCCAAGTAACTCCCACCTTTCACTTAGTAGAGGTGAAAAAATCCAATGGAGATACACTGGAATATCAGAAGGTGGTGAAAGAAGATATAAGGCCTGCACTTCAAGATATTGTTTGGGTTTGGCAGGGTGAGCAACAACAGCAGTCCCTGCCAGCATCTCTGGGAGAGTCGCATCAATATGAACAACAACAGCAGCAACAGTGACTTTTAACAGCAGTTCTCATGAGAGACCTTATATTCCTAGTGTCAAATGGTATCTTATCTTTGTGTACTTTCATAACCTTCTCATTTCGTAGGTGTTTATGTTGTGTTGTTTTCGTGAGCGGTAGGTGTTTACACATGCCTATCATTTTTCTGTTATTTTATTTGTCATGTTATTTGAGTCCTTTTGTTTCCAGTTCTCTTTCTTATACTGAAAATACATTCTGTTATAGGATTTGTGCTCAAAGAGTAAGTTAAATAATCCCCTGCATTTTCATGCTCTTTTTATTATTTGAAACCAGGGCCGTACATAATTTAACTACCAGCAGTATTTGCGTGTCATCCAGTATTGATTCAGAAAGATTATTATATGATTTTATTTGGTAAGAATTAGCTTTTCCAATTGGAAACTTATATTGAGGACAACCATACACCAATTTACAGACATCGGTATTTCAAGAAGTTCTGACTTAGCACATGAACCTAAAGCTTAGTGGTGTATGGTTCACACTTGTCTTGTGAACTTAAGTTGTAAACCTTGTCTACTCATGTCCGATATGTGCAACCCTCGTTTTTTTAGATAGTTGTGGCTTTGGCCACGGTAGTGATAGGTGAGACAGGTGTGCTTCATAGTGACATTGGACAATAATGTTACTGGTTATTGGACAATGTTACCAGACTAGATTACTACATAATATTCTCTGAGTATTACGAAGTAATAAGTGGATGAAAACTTTGAGAGGTGCGGTGGGTCATTAATAGTCTCATCTTTTACAGATAAGAAACGCTGTTTATCTATGTTAGAGGACGACAAATGGATGGATGCCCCGATTGTTAGGATATTTCCATTGATGTCTTGTTGTAAGATTATGAAAACCTTGTCTGGGTCACATGAGTTGGCTTGTTGCTGAGGCTTTTGCCTTTTTTAAAAAGACAGTCTTGTTGGTTGAAGTGGAGGAATTTGATTGCTAGGCCCTTGCTGATTCACCTTGTCTGGGTTCAGAAGGTCAAGCTGGGTTTGTGTTTTTTTTTTTTTTTTTTCTTCTTTTTTTTCTTGTGACTGATTTGATAGAATTTGTTCCTCCTTTTTCTTTTGCTTTTTGAGGCTAATCATGTTGACAAATGTCTTTACCTGTACTCGGTTTGATTTTAGGTTGAATCATGATGACATCAGTCTTTGTAATCTTTTGCTATTTACCATCTGAGGTGAAGGATTTGTGAGTCTGAAGTTTTTAGTTTAAAGTGCAGCATGCCTATCTTATTGTTGAAGTCATTTTATGTTAATAATTATTTAGATTGGTCTTACAGACTAGTCTTGTTTATTCCAAATAGGGGGGAAAAAAAAAATGAGCATTTGCTATTTGCAATTGCAGCTTAATATGGCGACCTTAGGCCTACGTGGTCTGCTACTATTTAGAGAAATTTTATTTTTTCAAATGCTCATCACTTTATTTTGTCACTAAACTGTTTGAGTTTAAATTTTGAATTTGTAAATTCTCACTGGATCTTCTAAAGTGAAATGATCTGTTTTAATATAGATGAATTGGTTGTTGATACTCCTCAATATCAAATTACCCAATAAATAAAAGAAGAAAAAAGAAAAGTAAACGTTTTATCTTTATATAAAATCTAAAATTTTAGGTTCTAATAAGTAGGAGCAGAAGTTGGAACTTTCCAGCAACACAAACAAAGCCACTCCTCATTTGCAACTACATTGATAAAAACTTTAGATTAAATTAATTAAATCAATTTTCTGAAAAACAGTTCGATAATTAAATTATGTTTTTATTGTTTAAAATAATATATTAAATTTTAATCTGGTAATTTTATTTTTAATTTATTTATTTTTAAATTTTTATACTTTTGTATTTAAAGTACAAACAGATAGGGATGTTTAAAAAATTACTATTTTAGGCAAAATAACAAATATTGGAGTTAACATAGTAAATTACTATGAAATCTTTGTTGATTTTAAATTAGTTTTAAAATTTTTCTAGCTATCGCTCATATATGTACATGTATATATATATGTACATATATCTATTTTATGTCTCATTGTTGTTGAGATTACTTTTATTCTTCTATCTTCTCCCATTGTAAATTGATCATTTAGTACTTAATGCAGCACATGTAAGCACGTCTAAGAAAAATGTAGGATATGTAAGCAATGTATCCACCATTTTATTCATACAATCTGTTATTCATAACTAATATATCCCAACATTCTATAACTGGACATAACTGGGAGACCAAGTCAAGTCAATAATCTCAGGAGGGAAAGTAGAAGCAGCTTTCCTCTTCTTTCTGTTGGATCCAGTTCTGCAACAAGGAGATGGGGTCAACAAGTCTATGACCTCAACATCAATACACACAGAGGAGTTGGACTGTTTTTCATTTGAACATGGCTGTTGACCTTCATCACCATTTGGTATGCTCCTCAATTCTTGTTCCCCCTTTTGCTTTCCGAAAACAATACTGCTTTCTTTAACCAAGCCAGTCATATTTACATCTTCTGCAATTTCTTCAGCACAAAAGCTTGTGGCTTTTGAATATGTCCTAACCGGTGAATCAAGCAAACTAAAGGATCGTGTATTATCCAAACCTATTGCGGAATCTTCACGTTCTTCAGACCATCCTAAATGCTGATACGAAGAGCTATGTGAATGATCAGTTGAACCACTAACTGCCACGTCTGCAAATGTCTCTGGAGCAGCTTCACCAGTGTTACCATCTGCATTTATTCCAGTTGCAGCTTCGCCGAAGTTACTATCTTCATCATGTTCTCCTCCATCATCCAAGTCTTTCTCATCCTCGAACATATTCTCACCTCCTTTGGAATAGCAGGGAAGTTCATCCACGGAACAAACTTGGACCTTCATGTGTTTTGGTAAGCTTGGACAAACAGCACCATGATGTGTGTATTTTGTTGAGAAATAGTTCGCAGTGATGTTCAAGCTGATAACAGAGGAACAAAAAAGACTGATTACTGATTACTGATTTGGATCAAACCAGAACTAGGAGGCTAAAACGTGAGATGTTTATTGTCCAGGGTAGACTAATATACCTATTCCAGGCTGGAAGGCAGAGCATTGTATATGCAAGTTTTATCTTATTAGCAACTCCAGAAAAGGATTTAAAACTTGCAGCTTCCTGCCTTACCGCTACTGATTCTGCTGGATGCTGCCACGCCCACTCAAACTGCGAGTGTCAATCCAGTAGAACATCAAATATGATACCACCAACTAACATTTTATCCAAAAATGTTTATATTCTTTGTTACTATAAGAAGAATTTGCAAATATTGAATCACTAAGCAAATTTAGAACGAAAATTTTAGCAGTCTAAAAACAACATCTATAGGATATAAGATCGTTGAAGATTAGTCACTTCCTTTTTTTTGGACTTAAAAAAAATCATCATTCTTCACCCCACAATTCACATTGCTTTCCATGTATAGTTTTCTTCTAACAAACCACACACAGCAGGAGTTGGACATCCTATCACGTGAAAAAATAATTTTTTAAGTAAAAAATTCATATATTTTGATAATTAGTTGACATTTGCACATCAATAATACAACAATCTCCTAACGAGAACATATAAAATACATAATGTAACTCGAATCAGCACCCTCGTACAAAGAAGTGGAAGTATCAATTATCCAGCCAAGAAATAGTTGGTAATACCAAAAAGCAATTTAACACCCACATGGTTGAATTTTTATTCTTTTTCACTCTATGCATTGACAGAACGTATTTAATAGATAGGATTATATCATTATTTTCATTTTACCCATAATTGAACTAATCCTACTTTTACTGAATTCTATGGTTATAAATTTCCATTTTTACTTGGTTAAGTAAGAATCCTATATCTCTTACTAGCTTTGACTAGATAGTAGAAGTAAGCTTTACCTCATTTCTACTTTATTTTTATTCTTATTCGATGAAAATAAACTTTTAAAACATAAGTGCCTGATCTATAAACTAAGGCTATATTTGAAACAAATTTATGATATTTTTAGAAGATTAATTTTCATCCTGCCAATAGAATCATTATTCTTTAAACTATAGTACCTAAACTGAAGTATAAACAAATAAAATTCACATCTTCCAAACATTAGCCTAAATTTTCATCCTCTAAATGGAATTACTAGTTAGAAGATTAATTTTATTCCACTCACTGGAATTATATTCTCTACTCTTTAGCACCTAAGCTAAGTATGAAAGTCAAAGTAAAATTCAGAATACAAGTTCACATGTTCCAAACATAGCCTAAACTATGCGGAGTATCAACCGATCTGAAGTTGGTGACTAACAGATTCTGAAGATGATGCTATGCAGCTTCAAGCAAAAGAAAGAAAGCAAGCAATGGGTGTAGAAGATGTATAACCTGAAGGGCAGAAACATTAGTTGGGAAACCATAAATGCACAGAACCATTTCCCAAGGACGCTTGCTCTTTGTCCTCCACGCACCACTCCTGATCTCTCCATTGTGCTGCCTAATCCGACGCCGTGGGTTCACTGTAAACCTATAATTAATCCAATCTAAGTAAGCCGATCACTCAATAAGAAGTAATGAGTTCCAGAAATTGTTAGGCTGAGCGAATATACTGTATCTACCGCTGCGAAAATAATGAGAAACGAAAGGGGAAAAATTAAATTCTGGTGGCGAAATTGAAATATTTGACATGGGGAATCGAAGATTTGCTGGCCTTAATGGATCATCAAATGGATATGTGGAAGAGTACAGTGATGAGAAAACCCAAGATGTGGATTTTAAAGCAACAAAACGAGCAGAAAAGACTCTGATACTGATGGGAAAAGGAATCAAGAGAAAAGATCCCAAATATCTTTAACAAGAAAATGAAAGAAAGCGAATTAAATTTAAAGGAAGATCAGGGAAGATGCTAACCCGATGTAGGTTTGGCCCTTATGGCGTGGGTTGATAGATGTTAACAAGTAGCAAGCGAAGAACCTCTTTCCCTTTTGTTCTTCGTCTTCCTTTTCTCCATTTTCTTCGAAATTTAGGGTTTTAAGGATTTCTGCTCGATCCTTTCTCTTTCTCATCATTCTAGGGTTTTGAGTACATCTGCTCCCTTCTTCTTGCCCGAATCTGCTCTGTATACTTTCTTTTTCTTTTCTTTTTTTTTTTTTTTTGCGTGGAGATTTTGAAGTGTTTTTCTCTCTAATTCGACCGTTGGTACATCGCCCTCTGTGCTATTTAGAGTAAATGAAATTAAGAGTTTAATATTTGAAAAATATATTAATTACATTTTCTGGCATCAGTTTTATTTGTTTTATTTTTATCTTTAAAAATTTTATTAAGTTCTTAATCTTATAAAAATTAATAATTATATATTAATATCCAATATATAAGTGTAGTTAAGTGAGTTAATGATATAGTTAAACCAGTTAATTTTCTAATTAGTTCTAATCAGTTGTGGTTAGGTTAATTAATCTCTCTCTCTTTCTCTCTGTCTATAAATACTTTTCCCCTCATTAATGAAAATACAACTTCAGTTTTTTCTCATTCCCGACTATTCTCTGCCTCTCTCTCTCTCTCTCTCTCTCTCTCTCTCTCTCTCTTGATCATTCTTGATTTAATACAACACCCACCATTTTTCTTCTGTGTCTCTGCATCTCTCTCTGCAAGCAACCCACAGATTAATCACAGAGAGAAACACAGAGAGTGGCAAGAAATATGTCCACTGAGGCTAATTCTGATTTTCCTCTCGGCTACTCTTGCCGAGATGCTTCGTCATCAAGAACCTCAAATCTGAGCCCCAACAGCTTCCCGATGATCTCGATGTTGCCACAACGATTCTTCCGATTCCACCATTCGCTTCTACAAGTTTCTGCTTCTCTCTGCATTTTCTTGGGTTTCGTTTCTCCTACCGTTTGTGGGAACTAAATTTTCTTTAATTAATAATGTTAAGAATTTTCTTCTTTGCGTAATACTTGATGTAATTGATATGGGTCTAGATTGGGGAGGCTTTGAAGTCTTGATCTTGAACGTGTGTTGATATGGCAAGTGGTTGGTATTTATGGAGGCATCTGGGTTCTTCTCCGAAGTCTTCATGATCTTTTTCCTCATTCGCATTCTAATTTCTTTCTTGGTAGCCTCAAGATAAATAATCACGCTTTACCTTTGGAGGTGGTGGTGGTAATTGATGATTCTTGTCGGTATATACTCTGTAATTTCAGATCAGCAAATCGCATGTTGTTGTTCTTATTGTTGGTGAAAATACATGAACTATAAAATCTCTGTATAGATTTTGGATTTGGAGGAAGTGCAAGAATTTTATGATGCTCCATTTGGAGAATTTTTTCGATATTTGGAGGAAGTGCAAGACTCTAGGCGGTGCTCATATCATGTCTGGTTTACAGAGTCGAAGTGATTCTACAGTTAAGTGTTTGTTTCTCGAGAAACACATTTAAGGATTTGTAACTCTCTATTTAGTTTTCAACAGGAATTTCTAGAGGGGAAAAGGAATCGAGAGAAAAGATCCTATCTTGAGAAAGAAAACGAATAAAATTTTAGGGTTTTGGGAATTTCTTCTGCTCGATCCTTCCTTCTTTTTGCCTGAATCTGCTTAGTATTCTTTCTTTTTCTTTTTCTTTTCAAAAATTTTTGAAGTGTTTTTTCTTGCTTCTTGCTCCAATTCAACCGTTTCGTACCTCCGTGCCAGTTAGAGTAAATAAAATCAAGATACTATTTTTATTTTCAAAAATTTTATTAATTTCTTAATCTTGTAACAATTAATAATAATGTATTAAGATATAATTTATTTAATTATGTATATATCACATTTAATTTTGTTGTATGATAAAATAGTATAATTGTATATTTGAATAAATTCTATATTTTGTCTATATTTTATTGTATATAGTAATAAATAAAAAATATATATATGTAATAAAATATATAAATACATATATAAATTTATGTATATGTATGCTTTTTGGGGTTAAGATTTTAAAACAAAAAAATAATGGTAAATGATTTAAAGTACAGTTCGGAACAAAATCAGACCCTGGAATATTACCAGAATTGATCAGATGCAGATGGTTAACTTTGATGTAAGACTTAAAATTGTTAGGTTTTAGCTGTACTCTTGTTTCTTTTTCTTATCAAAAATAAATTACAAATGAGATTTCTTGGCCTTTTAATTCTAAGAAAATGCCGCAAATGCACGCTAGGAATCAACCAAAGTTCTCCCATGTCAGATTCAAATAACATTTTCCTTTTCAATCCAACTATCAAAACTCACACAAACTCTGTTCCATGCTCAAGATTCACAGTTCATCAGACATCATAAAGGGTTAACCAAATATTTGTATACCAGACTCTTGGAATCATCCTCAAAAGTACAATTATGGAGTTCGAATAGCTTACTCGCTAATGGAAAGAGACTCAGCTAAATCGGCTCCGGAAATTCGTTCTCTCCACACCCGTGTTTCATGCACTATAAATGAGAGATGCAAGAAAAGAGGAAAGCAGAGATCGGCAAGTCCAAACCATGGAATTGAAGGATCCCGCTGCTCTTTTGCGGAACTTTAATTCATGAGGCGGCTTGTTAGATACTAGTAAAAGGTGGGAAACTAGCAGTTGCAGTAGAATCGGTCAGCAAGTAGTTGAAGCCATTATCCCAATTTCAGCTAGCAGTTGAAGCTATTATCTTATTTTCTAGTTTCATGCTTTTCTCCATTATCTTTAATGCTTAAAAATAAAAATTACCAGTTGTATTTTTATGTATTTAAACTCCTCCGAAACAGCAATGAAGGCAGACAATTATTGAATCTAAAATCTTTAATTTCCTTTGTCTTCCGACTGAGACCTGCCGGTGTTCTGCCTTATCAGGAGTAGTTACGAAAATCCTTAAGTTCTCTTTCTCTTAGTTTCCTGAAAGCAAAAGGCTGTCTTATGACCTGCGATGATGTTTATCCCAAAGTATAGAAGATGCCAATTCTCAAATCCATAAACTAGTCACAATTTACAAGTCACTCAGGTACAAAACTAAAAAGCTCGAGGCATAATATGTTCCAATCTCCTCAGCTCTAAGCAAGCAAGTTTTGTTCCTTTAGCATCTTTACTACACAACCATCACAAATACAAAAGATAATCTTGAGTATTTTTATCATCTATTGATACCCATCTGGAAATTCCTGTCGAAAGCTAAATAGAGATACGAAGCCACAAATCACTTTCTGAATGAAAACTTTCTCAAGAAACAAAAAAAGAAGCAAACTCCCCACACTGAAACACTCAAATTTATCCAACCCAGAAAAGATAAGAAAGATTAAAGAAAAAAATGTTTCCAAATTGAGAATCATAACGTTCTTGCATTTCCACCAAAATCCTGAATCTACACAGTGATATTATAGTTCATGTATGTTCACCAACAACAACAACAACAACAACAACAATGGTGTTTTCTGATCAATCTGAAATTACAGCGTATATGCTGAAGAGAAGCAGCAATTACCCACCACCTCCAAATGTAAAGCGTGATTATTTATCTTGACGCTAACCAGAAAGGATTAGAATGCGAATGAGGAAAAATATCAAGAGGACTTCGGAGAAGAAACCAGATGCCTCCATAATATCGACCACTTGCCATATCCACACACGTCCAAAATCCAGACTTCAAAGCCAGCCCAACCTAAACCCATATCGATTACATCAATTATTACTCAATATGAAAATTCTAAACATAAATTGAAGAAAATTAAAACTCCCACAAAAGGGGAGGAGACACGAAACCCTAGATACTGCAGAGAGAAATAAAACCTTGTAGAAGCGATTGGTGGAATCGGAAGAATCTTTGTCGGCAACATCAAGATCATCTGTAAGCTGTGGGCGCTCAGATTTGACGTTCCTGATGACGAAGACCCGGCGAGAATAGCCGAGAGGAAAATCAGAATTAGCCTCAACGGACACATTTCTTCCCCGTCTCTTTGTTCCTCTCTGTTATTAATCTGGGGGTGCTTGGAGAGAGAGAAACAGAGACTCAGAAAAAAAAAAATGGTGGGTTTTGGATTGGAAATTGAAGAAGCTAATCTAAATGGAAGCAAGTGATGGGTGCAGTTGAAGCTTTATCAATTTCAGTTGGTATACTTCTTTTTTTCTTCAAAAGAAAATTCCTAAAAAAGGAACAAAATGCGAAGGAGAAAATTCAAAAGAGATGACTTTTGCAATCTGACCTACCTAATTCCTGTGGATGAAGTGTAGTGGAACATGGAGATTGGAGAAGTAGATATCAGAAATTGATAATGATTAATTATTCATTTTTAAACTATTTAATATGTTGAGTGCCATGTTCTTTAATGGTGATTGGATTGGTTTCAGTACTTGATCCACAGTGAAAAATTATATTTTAATTGGTAAAAAAATAAGATTAAGGATGAATTATAATTTTATTAAGTATGGTTTAATTTTGTGTTATGGGTTAATTTGTTTTAACTTAAAAGATAATGCAAATTATATGAATCATGACTATTATCCATTTGCCAATATAATAGAATGCATGCACTGACCATTATGAAACATAATTAATGGAGTAGAATATTTAGACAATTTGGATAATAATTGGAACCGGTTTCTTGGCGTAAGTGGCTGCCACAAGCATATTCCTATTTCTTCTTTTCTTCTTATTTTATTTCTACCCTAAATTGCAATTGAGAAAAAGTCTAATTTGGTAGTCTTGACATTTAAAACAATACCCCAAAAAATATATGAACAATTAAATTTAAATATATATATATATATATATATGAAGGAGAGAATTAATAGTAAAACAGAAAGGCAAGACAGATTCATACTTACCTCAAGATTAGAGAAAGTGAAAAAGCAGAAGAGAAATTTATGAAGAGTTGGGAAAATGAAGATAGGCTGATCGAGTTAGGTACCCATGTAACCAATTTGTGTAGTTTTATAGAATCAAATATCCAAAATTGGAATTGAGCAGGTGAAACTTTCACTTGAACAAGTAAGAGAAATTAGAGCTAAAAGTTAAAAAATGGCTGATAAGCTGTCAACCAAATATGGGTTTCAATTTGCTGATCAAATTATAACTAGGGTTTCTTTTTCTTTTTTCTTTTTCCCACATTTGAAGTTCTGAACAGCTAGCAATTTTCTTTCTAATCACAACAACCAACATATCATATCACAAAACTGTAGCCTATAATTTCTTCACTGGTATGTTAAACTGCGAAAGAACCAAGCATCTTTAATTTCTGTTTACTTTTTCATTACAAATTGAAAAAACCAAATCAAACTGACTTATTACTACATCTAATGCAACTAATCTCAAGCTTCACATTGTGGTTTCCTGTGATAATTAAGCAAAACGGTAAAAAAAAAATTCGATTTGCAGCCCTCCAAAATATACCATGTGAGAATAAATACTCTTTTCCATCAAGGTTCTCAAGATTAAGAATTCTGCGCAGCTCATGTAATCCACAATGCAAAGTTGCAGAGAGGCTTGCGAACATGTCAAGCACACCTCAGATTGTGTGCTTCTTGCAGGCTGGTAAATCAGCTGATTAATAGTTCCAAACCCAAAGTTCCTGATAACACGGAATGTATATGTGCAGGCAGGTGACATGACATTCAGATGTACTTCAGATTCGGGAAAAATATTCCAAGTCACGAATTCTTGATACCAGAGAGAAAAAGAATAGTTATCAGATTTCTTAGGAATAGATCAGTGTTCAAATCGACCAACTTCCAATGCTTAAATGGTCAATGCACTATAAAACATATAAAGGAAAATGAGCTATAGGGGACAGAAGAAATAAAAACCAATCTACCTGATTAGAGAATCAAACTCTGGCAAACCGAGCAATCTTAGCAAGAACAGTTCTTAAGCTACGGATGCCAGCCCCTGATTTTGAGCTTACCATCATCTAAAATTACAAACAAATACATTAGATTGAATCCCAATACTAAGAAAATCCGAAAAACAAAGATCAAACAAGTTTGTCGTTAATACCACATTTTGAACTATAGACTTATTTGCCTTGAGGGTCTGCAAAATCAAAAGGTATAATGAAGTGTTAGTCACTTAGGACACAGTCAGTTTTCCAACTTTGTTTTCCCTATGTAAAATATCTACCTCTTCAATCTGCATAGCACGGCGTGCCACGTCAACTGGAAACGCCACATCTGTCTTAGTCAACACAATCTGGTACTTGGTACAAGAACTGCATTGTTAATAAGTTCAAATCGTCAAGCTTTTTTATTTTGTAAGCCATATTTCTACCATGATTAATGGAATGCTTCAATTATAAATGGTGCTCAAGAAAACCTTGCTGTACATTCTAGCACAGATGTTAAGTTGTGACAAAACTATGATGAATCATAGATATACATAGTTCCAGACAATTGGGAATGCTCAAATCAAAGTCAAAAGGTATGAGCATGTACCTCTCCATCAAATTAATAAGTTCATAGTCTCTTGGCTTCATACCCCATTTTGTATCAATGAGTAGGCATACTCTTTTTAGACCCACTCTTGTAGACACATACTCCTTTACCTAAAAGGTTTACAGTTTCAATCAAACAGTTGAAAAAGTATATTTAACAACCTCAAAGTAGAAAGAACATATGCCGATAAAGTTATTTGTCTTTATGAAAAAGCATGCAAAAATAGTATACGATAAAGGACAATAGGGAAAATAAATATATTCGTTTGCATTAACACAATGGATATAGCATATACCGCTCACTACAGTACAGCTTTTCCAAGTTGCAAGAGATTTTTAAAGAAATTTGAGATAGCGGTTCAAATGAAATTAGAGTTTACCAGAACTTAATGAAATAAACATATCTCCAATGCTTGATGGTTTGAAATTCAAAGGATAAAATACTTCCCCAAATAGTTTGAACTTTAAAGAATAAAAAAACTTTCCCAGTCAGACTTTCCAACTTCTTACGTTATTCCACCTAACTTCTGGACTCAATGAGAGTTAGTATTCTAAATGGGAGACTTCCTAACAAGCATCTGTTTATTTCTAAATTTACTGATGCACCACTACGTTATCCCAGCTACAATAAGTACATTCCAATTGAATCTTGATCCTTCATATTTCCTAAGAACTGTGAAATGATAAATGGTGAGTATCAACTATATAAGAAACAACTGCATAGGAGAAAGTTGAGTTTCAGGTGATCTACTCACAAGCTCCTCCCAAGATTCCTTAACTTCTTCTTTTGCATAAGCAAATCCATATCCAGGCAAATCAACCAGGCGGAGCTTTGGTCCCAGGTTGAAGAAATTAATAGTCTGCAGAAGAATCATTTGGTAAGTAATTAATGCTGCAGAACTCAAAAAGTTGTTTCCAGAGTAAATTGAGACCACCTGAGTAAGGCCTGGCTTGTCTGATGTCCGCGCAACACCCCACTGTCTTGTCAGTGCATTTAGCAGTGATGACTTGCCAACGTTAGACCTTCCTAAGAAAAATATATTGCAAGGTACCATTCAGAGTCCAATAAGAAATGTTCATAATGTACTAACAGATGAATGGTGACTTTCAAGATACTGAATCATAAATGAAAAATAGCCAATTTGAAAGAAGACCAGTAGGAGAAAGAGTTCAGATAAACGAACAGAGCACACAAAAAAAGATGAAAAAAATCATAGAGTCTACCAGCAAATGCAATCTCTGGAACATCAGGTGCTGGAAAAGACGAGGAAATCTTTGCAGCGGCAAAAAATTCCAATTTATTCCTGAATATCTGTCAAAAGTAAATTTTAGTTCCTAACTGCTGTAGCAGGAGAAATGGCAGTAATAACTTGAGCTACTCATTTCAATGATGAAGAAACTTCTAGACAAAATCACTCAGAGAAATTTAGGCATACATTTTCTTCAATCCGTGCTCTTTCCGAGCCAGTAGAAAAGGAGATATTATCTAATGGGGCAGAAAGCTCAATGTTGTAACCTGCCCTCCGTAGTTCTATCAAGCGTCTACGGCCCAATAACTGTCATAAAAATAATAAAATATCATGAAGTAGAAAATGAAGAGTATGAAAACTATATGAAACATCTAAAGGATCTGATCATACAAATTACATTTTCTTCCACGAAGGAGAAGATAGAGGGGCTAGGTTGTATTGCACGGAACTGTGCATTTTTTGACATTTCAACACCTTTATCCGAATCTTTTGTCTTCTTGTTAGTAGTTTCTGGAAAACAAGTAAGAAAAGAGGCTTATCAAGATGAAAGAAGCTTATAATGAACAAGACAGAAGCACGACAACAAAAAAGAGTAACCACAGGTATAAATGATATAATGGAACAAGTAAGTCCTATGAAAACTTGCTTAGCTGAAATAGACCGAATATGACCAACGGATTGAATTTAATTAACAATGAAGACCTACAAATAACATCAATTCAAACAGAGCGAAGATTGATCTGAAATGCTTTAACCAAGCAAAAAATATTCTAACTGCATGTTCCATATTCCTAATGCTTAGTTATGGCAAAAATTAGCAAAACTATGTTTAACATTAAAAACCAAGGCATATGTCTTACGAACATAAAAAAAGGAAAGAGTACCGACCATTGAGAGCAACATCATCATCCAGCCGCTTATTTGAGATGTCATGAGGATCTATCCGAATTACCCGCTTTCTCTTCTTTGGTCGATCATCTTGTCCATCTGAATCATCATTTACTATTTTCTTGTCTGAACGCATTTTCTTGGAAGATCTCCAAGGTGAACTATCTGGCCGTTCTTTCTCATCTTGCAACTTAGTCGTGTCATGTTTGCTTTTGGAATATTTCTTCAATGAACCGTCCTTTTTGCCAATCTCTCCTGCGTTGCTTTTCAGAACTACTGTTAGATACTTGAGCAGACTTGATTAGATTCTAAAGATTACAAGAAGCATACTTACTCTTAGAAGACCACATTGTGCGAGGAGATCCATTGACACTTTTTACTTTACTAAACTCATTTTTCACCTTATTTTGTCCTTTCCTTGCCACATTCTTGTTTTTGATTGCTGATACTAAATTCTCGTCTGCATGTACCCTCTTATTTTTTCTATCAGAAACCGTAGTTTTAAACACCACTCCCTTCTCTCTCTGGTGAGATTTTCTCGCGTTAACAGCACCTCGAACCTTTTTATTTCCTTCCTTGAAAGTTTCAGACTTGAGAGCTGCAAGCTTCAGTTTCTTATTGAGCTTATGCTTTACAGTTGTCTCCATTGACATCCTCTATCGCTTCTTCAACAAATATGACAAACACCAAACCCTGATCGTAAAGCAAACCTATTTACCTGAACAAAGTAGTCCAACCAGGAAAAGTTGAATCAACATTAATCAAACAGGACAAGAAGGTGTCAAGACGAAATGGGTTTGTTGCATTTATAGTATAATCCTGATACTAGCAGAAACAATTAAAAATTGAAACACCAAAACTAAAAACTATCAAGAAAATTAATCTGAAACTTCACCCTTTTTTCTTTTCTCAATTCAACCTACTGTAAAAGGGCATCCTACTGTCATAAAAAAAAAAAAAAAACAAAAAACAACAGCCAACCTTTAGACCCCTGAAAGCTTTTAGTACATTAAGCTGATGTAAAAATTCAGTCATGCAATATGCAACTTAGTCTTTGAATGATAAAGTTTAAGAATTTAAATAAATTTCACAAGAAAAAAAATAAGAAGAGAGTTGCGAAGTGAATGCAATACCTCTTCTCAACAAGTATGTCGGGTGTTTTGCTTTCCTCTTTTCACCAGGTTTCGGTGCAGTTTGTTTCTCTTTGTTTGCCGCTTACCCTCTGCGTCTGGTCTGGTACCCTACTCCCGTCCTCCCTCCCAAGAACGGCTTCACTGGCACTGGATCTTGGGCTTCTTTCGGATCCGGCCCGTTTATTTTTCGGACCGGGTTTGATAGGCTATTATTCCTTCCTTCCTAACTTCACATAGGATCCGACCCATTTTACAAAAATTATCTGTGTCATTACAACCAGTAGCCCATCTATTTTGGGATGTGGCCATGTCTTTTTTGCATTTTTTTTTTTAAAATTGTTTTCTAGAATTTTATTTTATTATTTTATTATTTTTCGAATAGAAGAAATTAAAATATCACAAGCACCCTTTTTTTCATTGTAAATGAAATTAAATACTGTGTTTTTTTTTAACTAGAAGCTTATAATCAAACACTGTTGTCTCTTTTATTTTTATTTTATAGCCTAAAAAAAACATAAATACCTATAAAATAATTTGAATCTTTTTATATTTAATTAATTATTTTCAAAAAAAAAAAAAAAAGTTATAAATTCTCAAAAGACTAGGATTAGTAACCATAGAGTTGTTTAAATTTAATAAATTTAAAGAGTTATAAATTCGTCTAATAAATTCAAAATTATTGTAAATTCAATATCAAAACTCTTATGGTAAGAATTAAGTGCGCCCAAATGGCATAATTCCCTTTGGAGTTTTGGGTATTGCAAAATGGTGAATTGAAATTGAAAAAAAGAAGCCAGATGTACTCTACTGAATCATGTGGTCCGACACAAAAGCCATTTAACTTGTAAGACAAAACTGCTCAGTCCCGTTACATCTCATTAGCTTGGTGTAAGGTAAGCGGTGCTCTCACCCACGTGAGATCTAAGCTGCGTATTATAAGGACTTGTTTGTTTGACTCACCACCAAAGTTTGAGAAAGATTTTCACTATTTGGACAACCACATTATTTTTACTTGTCAATTTCATTTGCTTTTCTTTATCCAAAACCAATATTCGGCATCATTCTTTTTCAATCTTTACGGCCACATATCTCTTTAATCATTTCGTATCACATAAAAGTAAATAAATTTTATTAATAAATGAGTAATAAACCCCACCAACCTGACCCATGTTCATCTTTTAAAGTTCAAAGCATAAATTATGCATGAGATATGTATAGATGTGGGTGTGTGTAATAAAGTAATAGACGGGTTAGAATTTTGTGACTAAATTGATTTGCAAATTAACAAGTTCCCCCTTTAACTTAGTTTACTAGTTCATATTATATATAATATGTTATTAGAATATAATATCTCACTTTTAAATCATCATAAACTCTTCATTCTTCAATTTTATTTATTTATTTTATTTTTTTGTTGGGTTCACTCCCATGTAAATTAATGATTTAAAGGTTTACGAGAGAAAAGAACCAAATAAGACAAATCGCTGCCTCCTGCCCGGAACTTCTTCTTTTACATTCTTCGATGAATACAAAGCTGCACCCCATATATATAAAATTGATCTGTGCAGTTTCGTCATTGGTTCTTTTTTATAAGCCATGTCTGATCTGTGCACTCGTAGACCAATAATTGAGTCTTAAGAATTGATAGGTCACCACCACTCTGCTTCTCCCTTATATGTTAATAGCTCTACCGTCTGTTCGCTAAACCTCATTGTTCCATTATATATAGTCGGTCCAATTATATTAATTCTGACCCAACTACTGCTTTATTTTAATAATATTTTAATTTCTATTATTATCATATATATATATATATGTATGTATGTATGAGCCATCACTATACGTGTGCAAACATGTAAATATATATATATATATTAACAGCAATAAACAGTCTGGCTATTCTAATTCTTCCAAGGAATCTTCCCACCATTATTATTCGAATATAATAAAATAAAATCGTCATGGGTCGAGCACGAAATAATTCTTTAAAAAGATTTCATCCAGTTTGGCTGAACCAGAAGCTGCTATAAACTTTAATAACTCAATTTCAGATCTATTGATTTACGGATCATATCCAAGATATGAAAAGAAGAACATATATATATATATATATGTATGTATATATATACATATAAAAGACATGAGAAAATATATATTGCTTTTGCGTTGTTTGGATGTCAAAGTCGTATGTACAGATACAAAAAATCTCTAATGGTATGAAACCGGGCTATCTAAGCAAAAACCCGTTTACTCCTCCTCATACCTCAAATAGATTTTTCACTTCTTTATTCCACAACACAAATTAAAGTACAGACTCATTTTTTTCTTTTCTTTTGATCAACTTAATTATATAAGCTGATAATTATTATGGTAATTATCATTATTTAATTAAAATTAATCACCACCGGTACCCGACCCGGATCTGTTCATTGACAATTCGGCTCATTTTGCCAGCAAGTCTTCCACACCATCAAACAAGAGACTGGATGCTACTCACTACTGGCAACCTGAGATTCCCGTTGCCCCATCAGCTCCGCTCTAAGCTTGTTCCTCCAGAACTCCTTATATGAACTGCTATCACCGCCTTTTCTCTTTACCTCCACCACGACCAGCTCCTCCGTTAACCGGTGAACGTCCATCCCGAATACCAAATCACCGTTCTGCCCCTCCACTATTACGCCCAAATCTTTTTTCTTCCTCACTCTCAATTTCTGGGCCTTGGCGACCCGCTCCACCGTCTCCATCAGCTTCTCCGGCGGATCGGCCGACAGGAATCGCTCTCCCTCGTCTACCGAAGACGCGTCGAACAGACCGGAGAGATTCAATCCGGACGAGAACGAGATGAGATCGAAAGCGTTAAGTCTGGATACGCTCTCGGCTTCGTCTTTTTCGTCCAGCTTGGTTGCTTCGTCGTAGAATTTGGTCGGCTTGTAGCCTTTTTTGAACCATGGGTCCTTGAGAATCTCGTCGATGGTAATCCGGGTTTCGGGATTCGTATCGAGAAGACGAGAGATTAAGCGCTTGAGATCTTGAGACATCCACTTGGGGAACCGGTACTCGCCCTTATAGATCTTCTTGTACATTGCCATGAGGTTCGGATCGTTGAAGGGCAAATACCCGGCGTTTAGGACGAAGAGGATGACGCCGCATGACCAGATATCAACCTTAGCACCGTCGTATCCTTTTTTTCCGAGAATCTCCGGTGCCACATAAGCCGGCGTGCCGCAGAGTGTGTGGAGGAGACCATCCGGTTGGATTTGATCGGAAAGAGCACTGAGTCCAAAGTCCGAGACCTTGAGATTTCCGTTCTCGTCAACGAGGAGGTTTTCCGGCTTGAGGTCGCGGTGGAAGACGCCACGCGCGTGGCAATAACCGACGGCGGAGATAAGCTGCTGGAAGTACCGACGGCTGATATCCTCCGTCAGACGGCCTTTGGCGACCTTGTTGAAGAGCTCGCCGCCCTTGACAAACTCCATAACAAAGTAAATCTTCGATTTCGTAGCAAGCACCTCGTGGAGCTTGACTATGTTGGGATGGGTGAGCCGCCGCATGATGGAAATTTCGCGCTTGATGTTGGACATTAGACTGGCACTGGCCACCCGCTTCTTGTTAATTATCTTGACGGCGACGCTCTGTCCCGATCGGACATCGCGAGCGTGGTAGACCTTGGCGAAGGCCCCGCAACCAAGAAGCTTGCCCATTTCGTACTTGCCGAACAAGGTGGTCTTGTTGTCGGAGTTCTCATTCTCAATTTCCGGTTCAATATCCGGCATCTGGGTAATCAAAGCGACAGAGATCGAATAATTTCGACCTCTGTCCGGCAGAAAGAAAAAAATGAAAGTTGAAAAATCAACCAGTGAAAGCGAGAAATCAGGTTTGTTTGGGAGACGGAGGCGGAAAGTTGAAGGTCGCAATTTCCAGAGATGCGGGGTATATGGTCAGTTCCTATTTATCTATTTATGGTTAGGGAGGAGGAAAATGGAGATGACGTAATAAACAAAATATTTGATAAAATTTATATAATAATTATTTATAATATTAATTAATTCTAAAAAAAAGAACAACATTAATCAATATTTGATATTTACATTACGGTCAGTTTTGATCAGTTCCAGTACGGTACAACCGTTCGCTGCGGCATTTAATGATGACAAATAGATATGAAACACGTGGCGGATTTTGATTGCAACAAAATTTGACGCTGGCAATAGAGCAAACCGAAGCCGTATCGTTGCCGCCCACGGTTTTCTAAGAAGGCTAGCTGTTAAAAGTGTGAACGCCGCGTGGAAGTAGTATTAGGCGGACTATTTTTTTAAAATATATATATTATAATAATTGACCTTATAATAGTAATTATAAAAATAAACTATAATTAAATTTGAAAGTAGTACGGTAATTAACGAACACTACTATAAAAAATTATTATTATTATTAGTTGTGCCTGAAATTAAAAACTTAATTATGACTAAATCTTCTTTTTATTCAAATATATTATGATTCATTGTGACTAAATTTAACTTAATTAACATAAAAAGAATATTAAATTAGAGAAGTAAAGTTTTATACTTTTAACATTTAAATATATTAAGTTGTGTTTAAGGTAAACTAGCATGATTCACATGCTTAATTACTTGATTTAAAAAGTGAATAATCAATATTAATAAAAAATTAATCTTCATTCAATTTCAAACCCCACCACAGCAAAAGAAAAAAGAGAGAGAGAGAGAAATGTGAATATGTTTAAATAAAAATAGATTGACTAATTTTCTTTAATTAATTTATTTGCATATTCCATGTTACATGTTTTTTTTTGTTCAGAATGATTTAAAAGTTAGATTCATGTATCAGCAATATCTTTTATAATAAATAAACTATAAAAAAAGTAAAGCTATACTTAGAAATAACTTAATTAAATTTACAGAATTTATTATAAATTATAATAATTTACTCTCAATTAATAAAATTAAAAATTTCAGTAAATTATTAAATAGTAATTAAGTTACTCTAAATTTTATTATCATTTTTAATAGAATTTAGAGAGCCTAACATAATTATAATTTTTAATTTAAACAAATTGTAAACTATAATCAAATATTACATCTAAATACTAGGCAGTAAAATTATAATCTGAACATAGATACAACTAAATTATCATCTTGATATAGATATATCAAAAATTCTAATCAAATTTATCTTATGCCTATGTAAGAAGAAATAAAAAAATATAACAGACTAGTTAAATTATTATACTAAAATAAAACATACGGAAAACCAATAATTATTAAAAATTTACTGAAATTAATATACATGGTAAATATGTAATATTAGACTCCGAAAATTTGGTTTGAGATAATTTATTATTAATAAAATAATAAATCAAAATAATTTATTTTTTATTTTTTATTTTTTTCGTTAATTTTTGGTGAAATATAGATTTTGGATGAAATTGAAATTAATTTTGAAAAAACATGATTAAACTGTAAATAAATGGGATGTATTTAAAAGAAAATTGAAAACAGGGGATCAAATCGTAAAAATGAGTAATATGGGCCATGTGGGTCAATCATGTCAGCAGCAACGACGAGTCAGAACCCACTGCGTGGCGGACACACTGGCACAGGTTCTACGCGGGAGCCACGTAGGCGATATGGATGTCAAGGCAATCCAACGGCCCATATCGATTATCGCTCGCACAAACGGTGAGATCCCAACCCGCCCCAAATTCACACAAATGGCTCTAATTAGCTGTGTGAAGATCCAACAGTGGAGTGATGAAACAGACAAGATTCACTCCAGAGGATCGCGAATAGACGACTCAAATTGGCACACTAATCAACCTAAACGAGTCTCAAATCGGGACAACTCTCCTTGCTCCACATCGATAAGGGACGGTCAGGATAAGGGGGAAAT